AGACCTTGGAGAAGCTGCCTATATTCTTGGGATTAGAATATTGAGAGATAGAAAGAAGAGACTAATTGGACTTAGTCAGAGCACATACTTGGATAAGGTACTAAAGAGGTTTAGTATGGAAAATTCCAAGAAGGGAGAGCTACCTATCCAGAGCAATACCAAATTGAGTAAGACTCAATGCCCGAGTACAGATAGGAAATAGATGACATGAGTCGTGTACCTTATGCTTCCGCTGTCGGATCGATCATGTACGCTATGACATGTACTCGCCCTGATGTGGCATTTGCTTTGAGCATGGTCAGTCGCTATCAGGGAAACCCAGGTAGAGCTCATTGGATAGCAGTAAAGAATATACTCAAGTATTTGCGAAGGACAAAGGACTGGGTCCTTGTACTTGGTGGCAATGATACTTTGAGAGTAGATGGTTACAGTGATGCCAGCTTTCAGACGGATAGAGATAACTTCCGTTCTCAGTCAGGCTGGGTATTTTTACTGAATGGAGGAGCGTTACTTGGAAAAGTTCCAAGCAAAATACGGTGGCTGATTCTACTTGTGAATCAGAGTACATAGCAGCGAGTGAAGCGTCGAAAGAAGCAGCTTGGTTGAGGAACTTCATCGGAGATCTCGGAGTTGTTCCAACCATCCAGGAGCCTATGGAACTGTTCTGCGATAATGAAGGAGCGGTTGCCTTGACAAAGGAACCGAGAGATCATGGTAAGACCAGACATATCGACAGAAAGTACCATTTCATCAGACATAGAGTAGAAGAAGGCCATCTTATAGTAAAGAGGGTGTCATCTGAAGATAACCCAGCAGATCCTCTCACAAAGGGTCTGAGTAGGGCTAAGCATATTCAGCATGCTCGGAGCATAGGACTGAAAGATGATATTAGTTTTAGTAGTTAGATTAGTTTTGTTCTGAAACTTGTAACAAAGTAAATGTAATTGACTTTTGGTGATTAAATAATAAAGTATTGTTTATAAGTTTGGTTACTGCCTTTTGTCAATTGTTTATTATTGTGTTTCATTTTTGCATGTTTTACTTCCTGAATAATAAGATTATTCAAACTCCACAGTCGCTCGTACTTTTGGAAGTAAGTAGTGAATTAAGACTGTCATGAACTGGATTGTAGATTGTCTAAGGATAGACATGGCAATAGAATTGCTGCAACATTCATGAGTACTCAGAAATTGAGATTTGAGTATTGGATAAACCCTCGCTCAGAGTATCACTTCATGGAATTCATCACGAGTAATACTGAGACGATAATATCTTATAATCTTGAAACGAAGATATATGAGTTGTAATTTACAAGTCGGTTATGCATTGGTGATACGAAAACGCATCAGTAACTTGGTGTTATAAAACGTATTGTCATGTATAATTTGATGAGTAAAAGATACAAGCATATGAGTCAACGTTTATTCGTTCCTTTTGCCCTAACAGGAAAAGCGATATCTGTGGGCCCCTCGATGATTTGGTGTTGACTTATGTGCTGGGCCCAGCCAGGACTAAATTGATGTGTTCGATTAGAAGTCCTACATCATTACAAATCAGAAATCGGGAAACATAGATTCTGGACAAAGAGATTGATTACATTCCATGTCTTATGTCTAGGGATATCTAGCAGAACGAAGGATTATATGATCACTTATCTTAGGACACGTAACTGACTGGGTCAGAGTTCGGCAGCAGCTTTTGGAAGCTACAATTTGCTGGTCAAATTTAGAAGGCATACTAGCAATTATAGTTACAGACTTATCCAAGTGGGAGACTGTTGGATTAGGTGTCTAAGCCCATAACTATAATTGGTATGTACTTGAATTGATAGCAGCACAGTCCTTTTGGGTTGCCCTCAACCTAGCAACTGGACAAGGAAATTATGAAAGGAGAGATATTAATTTATAAGATTAATAAATTAATATATAAATGATTTATTAATATGTTAATGGATTAATATATTAATTAGAAATCATTATGTTTAATTAATAGTTAGCCAGAAATTAATCAGAATTAATTTTGGGGTTAAAAGAATTAATTATAAAGTGCAGGGACTAGTTTGCAATTAACCGAAAGTTGAATGGAAGTATCCAGAACCCCCTTGGAAGGAGGTGGACGAAAAAAACCCTAGGGGAAACCCTAGAGAATTCGTCCAAGGGGTCCAAGTGAGGCCTTTGGGTTTTGCTTAGGCCCTAAGCAAAGGATAACTAGGGTTTTCCCTAAACCCTAGTTCCCTCAACTATTTAAGGAGCCTTCTGGCTCACATTTTAGGGTACTCTTTCTTTGAAGAAACCCTAGGGCCGAAATTGCATACTCCCTCCCCTCTCTCTTCTTCTACTTTCCTTCTTGCTAGTTCTTGGGTGTGATTCCATTAGAGGCATTACACTTGTGGTGCTAAAGCTTCCAAGAAGATCAAGATCAAGATCAAGGGAATTATCAATTGTTTGCTATAACAATTGAAAGGTATGTAAACCCTAAACCCTAGTTTACTATTTTCGAAAATAGCCTCTCTCCTCTAAGGTTCTTGTTTTGCAATTCAAAGTTGTATGTTCAATAGTTAAAACATAGATCCAAAGTAGGTTGCATGTGAACTTAGGAATTGTTTTCGAGTTTATTATTGTTTTCGAGTTTATTTGTTTTACCTAAAACCCATCAAATAAATCATTAAGTATATTATGCATATCAATCACCGAGTTGGCCCAGTTTTAAAACACTGTTCGCTTCAGTAAGGGGCCGATCGAGGAGTACTCGAATTCTGTAATTTGCCTCGGTAAGGGGTCGAGTAGGGAGTACTCGGACGAGTAATCGGCCAACTCAGCGAGTTTTACAACACTAGTAATTTTGACAAGCGAAGTGTGTGTGAGAGGGTTTTGTTGGGAAAATTATAGTTATAATTTATAAGAAAGTATCTAAGGGGACAAGTGGAAATCACACACTTTTTTTTGTTAATTGTGTACATGTATAATATGATAGACCAACATGGTTACATTAAACCTGAGATATATCCATGTCGGTTACGGTTACCATCTATTATAGAGTAGATTATAAACATGTCGGTGATGCGACCTTGGCCTGGCTCGATCAGTATTGTTCACTTGGATTCTCGATTGCCTCTGCAAGATCACAAAGAAAGACGGCCGTCAGCCGCTTTTCGGGAGGAGCTCCCGGAAGAACGCTCCGACGGTCAAGTTAGAGAGTGTTCAGGATCTTTGGGTGTGTGCTCTCAGGGTGTTCGGAGAGCTTACCTCGTAGGTCTGAGAGCGTATCCTTTTATACCTAGCTCCCTTGCCTGATCCGTACCAGAAAAGATCGCTTTTTGGGGAGACAGGATCAGGGGCGTTGATTGGAGAGTCATGCGCCTTTAACCGTTAGGGTGATCTTATTGGCTCTGACGGTAATGGTCTGATCCTCCTGCTTGTCTCCTGACCGTTTATTTTGTCTTGGAGCTGGGAGCATCTCTTAGGCGGGTGCGAGCCTTTCGCCTCTGCCTTCCACTCCCGGGGACGCCAGCAGATGCTGAGCATGCTAGGCTGGAGCCGGTTGGCGTGTCCGGCTCGTGCTTTTGCCGTGCTCCCCTAGGCACGTCATCAAGTCCCCCAGTCCTGTAGCCGTAGCGTTGCAGCGCTAGCTACAGCGTTCTGGACTTAGATAGCTTACGCGTGTCGGTTTTCCTTTACCCGCCGTTCCGTCTTTAATGGCGACGTGACTGCGCATGATGTGTGGCAATTACGTCACCGTGTCAGGCATTTAAATATCCCGCCTCTTCCTCTTCTTTATAGGGGCCTTTGAACGATTTCTCCTTATCTTTTCCTCCTTCCCTCTTCGTCTTCCTCTTTTCTAGCCTGTCTTTTTCTCTCTTCTTTTCTCATGGCAAACCTTCCCGGTATCCTCCCTTCCGCCACTGAGTATCGTCAACTGGAGGTCACATATGGCTTATCTTCTTTGGAAGGTGTAGAGTTTCCTGCACCTGGTTCTAGTATCTCATCACCTCCCCCTGGCAAGATTGGGGTTTACTTGAAAACCCTAGACGCTGGCATCCGTTTCCCTCTAACTGATTTTCAAGAGGAGGTCTTTCAGAAAGACGGTTGCAGTCTTCAGATGCTGACCCCTAATGCAGTCAACAAAGTGGTTGCATTTGAGATGATCTGCAGGGCCAACGAGTATCTTCCGGATTACTTTGTTTTCAAGTTTTTCTTCCGATTCTGCGTCACTGGGGATAAGTGCACCTTTTCGGTCCGGCGAGGGGGGCACGCCTTGGTTCCCGACGGGCGGACCCCTAAGAATTGGCAAGACAAGTGGCTATGGGTAGACTAGGGGTTAGTCGGAAGCGGTCGGTACCGTGCAAATGCTTTTGCCGATACCATCCCCAAGCTCTTCCCTCACAACCAAAGTGTCGCTGATTATCTGAAGTGTGTGCAAGTATCCCCTGAGGATTATTCTGAAGCTCTGCTTTCTGGTGTAGGGATGAGCCCTTCTTGGAGGCGTCGTGGCAAGATGGCTGTGTTTTTCTTTGTTGTTGATGGTAGGTGCTGTTCCCTTCTTTTTCCCTTCTCCCCCTTGTTACTACTATGTGACTGATATTCCTTGTTCTGATATCTCTAGGTGTTTAGTCTTCCCTGTCCATGGATGAGGTGTTACGGAAGCATTATCGGGGCAAGTTAGAGTACCGTGAGGTGGATACTGTTGACCGGCTTCCTCCACCCCGCCGGCTGGACCAGTTTTCTTTAACTGCTGCTCCCTCCTCCCCTCCTGCAAGCTCGTCAGCGTCGGAGGGAGATCCTTTACACGCCCGCCTAATCTCTGCTGTCATGCCCCTGGGTAGCGCTCACTCCTCCTCCATGGAGGGTAGCGAAGACAACAAAGAGGGGATTATCACGGATGCCCGACGAATGCAAGCGAAGATAAAAGTTGTCTTAGCCATGGGTGAGCCGGTTACCGGCGCGTCCACCGCTACCAAAAGGGTTCATACCCGGCGCAGCTTCTCTCGTCTGCTGAGCTCTATGACTTCCACACCGGCCGGTGTGGTCCTGATCCCTGATGACGACACGCAACAGTCCGAAGGGGTCGACGAGGCGGCTGAACAGCCCGTTGTTCCTGCTCTCTCCTCCATTCCCGTTCCAGGTGTTTCCTTGGTTTCCCCAAAGTTTTCCCCGGTTAAAGGTTCTAGCAGCCCTGGGTCAGTTTCAGTTCCTTTAGGTGGTGTTTCTGGAGACGACTCTACTGAGTCTCCTGTTTTTGTTCCTTCCTGGGATCTCCGCAACAATTCCCGACTCTCTGTTCGAAATAATGCTTTGGAATTTTCCCGCCATGCTTTTCCTTCGGCTGCTGTTGGCGATATGGAGGCTATGGGTAATCCTGCGCTTGCTCATAACATGGCTTATGCTGCTGCGCAGGCCATTTTTACCTTGTCGCGGGTTCCCGTCATGTTCATGCTCTTGGCGAGATGGAGGCCGCCCACGCTACTTGTGAGTCACGCGTGACGGGGCTGGAACGTTGCCTTGGCGAGCTTGGCGAGGATCTCTGTCTGTCTGAGCAAAAATATGAATTGCTATCTTCTTAGAAGACCGTCCTTGACGAAACTAGGGCTGTCTTGGAAGCTAAGGTCGACTCCCTGACTCAAGTGAATGAAGGTTTGATGATCCAGGTGGAAAGTCTTGAACGCGATGCTGCTGATCGTGATAAGCTTATTTCGTCATTGCAATCGGATTTGGACGCTTCCCGTCAGGACTTGGATTGGCTGGTGCATGTTGGTGTTGTTCGAATTGTTGATAAATTGATTGAGCACCCGGACTTTACCAACACGATAAGTCTCATCCGACATGCTGCTTTTATGGCCGGGATTGAGTCTGTTCAGAAAACCTCTGCTAGTGCTGGTGCTGGAGATGTCGGTGTTGATGCCGCTTCTGTTGGTCCCGTGGTTACTGTGAACGACGCTTTGTTATCTTTTGCCAGTATGGATCATGCGTCCTTGTTGGGTCTGGGTGAATTGGGTGTTGGGGGTCTCCGAGAGTTGTGCTCGTTTGTTGGTTCAGAGGGTACTCCAGAAAGTGCAATGGGTCAGGGTATTGTGTCGGTGGCTGAGGTCGATGCTGGGAAGGGTAATGAGGGTGGCGATGATGATCTTGGAGAAAGTGAGGTGGTTGTTGTGGGAAACGAAGTCACCTGTGGCGAGGATGATGTTGTTGAAGATGCTCCGGCATCGTGTGCTACCCCTCTTGGGGCGTGAAAACTTCTTTGCATGTTTTAGTTTCTGTCTCGTATGTTTCTTTTGATGGCCATGTGGTGTCTTTAGTTTGTATAACGTATGGACTTTTGAACAATATTCTCTGTGTAATCACGAACTCTAATCGCTAGTTGTTTGTTGCTTACTCTCTTTTATATATATTTTTCTTCTTTTTTTTTTTTGAAAAGAACATAGCGCTCTGATATGCTAGGCATTCTTCTTCGCCTATGTCATTGTCGATACGCTAAGTATCGGTACTGGGTGCTCTTAGTACCCAACGAATGGATCTCTACATGCACATTTTCAATCGTTAAGAGTTAATACAATAAGTATTAAAGATTAGCATTTGAATAATCCTATTACATTAACCATGGACTACAAATACACTAAGTATGAAACTCATGTCACTAAGCATGGACTTGTGTACACTAAGTACTTGGGATGTGCCGCACTAAGCAGCGTATCGATCGACTAGGATTATACTTTTCTCTTTTCAAAAGAAAAACTTTTTCAAGTTCCTGGCGTTCCATGTTCTTGGAATCTGCTTTCCTTCCATCGTCTCTAAGGCATACGCGCCATTCCATTTTGTTTCCGTGACTTTGTAAGGGCCTTCCCACGCTGGGCCTAATTTGCCTTGGGGTTGGGCTCGACTTGCTTCGTTTTTCCTTATAACATACTCGCCCAATTTGAACGCTTTCTCCTTTACCCGTTGGTTGTAATACCTTTCTGTTGCATGCTTGTATGCAGCCTGGCGCATCTCTGATTTTTCGCGTTTTTCTTCTAGGATATCTAGGTTTATCCTCAGGTCCTGTGCATTGCTTTCTTCATCTGTGCTAGCCACCCTTAGCGTACTCACTGTTAATTCCATGGGGAGCATGGCTTCTGTCCCGTATGTCAAGCTGAACGGGGTTTCTTGCGTGCTTGTTCGTGGTGTGGTCCTGTATGACCATAGCACTGTTGGTATTTCCTCCGGCCAGTTCCCTTTTGCTCTGCCCAGCCTTTTCTTAATCCCATTCACAATAGTTCGATTGGACACCTCCGTCTGCCCGTTCGCTTGTAGGTGCGCTACTGACGTGAACCGTTGCTTTATCCCTTTAGTGGCGCACCACTCCTTGAATGGGTTCTCGGCGAACTGCAGGCCGTTGTCACTGATGAGTACTTTAGGCGTCCCGAACCTTGTTATAATATTCTTCCATACAAACTTTATCATGTGTCTCCCTGAGATGCACGCTAATGGCTTCGCTTCGATCCATTTTGTGAAGTAATCCACGGCCACCACCATGTATTTCAGCTTACCTGGTGCTTCCGGGAATGGGCCCACTATATCTATACCCCATTGATAGAACGGCCACGGGCTAGATATGTTATGCAGTGGTGCTGGGGGGTTTGTTTGGACTGGGGCGTACGACTGGCATTCCCTGCATCTCCTGGCTATTTCTAGCGCATCTTGCTGTATTGTGGGCCAGTATACACCCATTCGTAGTACTTTGCCTGTTAGGCCCCGTGCCCCCTCGTGTGTGCCTACCTGGCCTGCGTGTGCTTCCCGTAGCATCTCTCTCCCTTTGGCTTGATCCACACACTTCAGCCATGGCGTTGTGAACCCTTTCCTGTATAGCTCTCCATTTATTAATGCATATGAGGGCGCTTTTATACGTATCTTCCTGGCCTCGCCGTGATCGTCCGGGAGCACCCCTCTTTGCAGGTATTCCCTGAATGGTGTCATCCACGTTGGTCCAGTGGTCGTTAGGGTATTCACCTGCCGTTCGTCTATACTTCTTTCTCGGAGCACCTCTACCAAGACTTTCTTCGATAGGTGTTCGAAGCACGTGGATGCCAATTTGCTTAAGGCATCCGCCTTCTTGTTCTCGCTTCTAGGTATCTGCCTTATTATGAACTGCTTAAACGACTCGATTAGTTGTTTCACTATCTTCACGTACTTTCCCATTCTCTGGTCTCTCACCTCGAAACTTCCATTGACCTGGTTCGCTGCTAGCCTTGAGTCCGTCAGGGCTGTTACAGCCTTTGCACCCATTTGCTTGGCTAGTCGCAATCCTGCGAGCAGAGCCTCGTACTCCGCTTCATTGTTTGATGTGTGAAAATCAAAACGGAGGGCGTAGGTCACTTCTTCCCCCTCTGGGCTAGTCAGGATTAGCCCCGCCCCTGAGCCCTCCCTGCTGGATGCTCCGTCCGTATATAATGTACACGAGCTGTTGACGAGCGGGGCTTCTTCAACTGCCCACACCTTCTCCTTGGCAGGGCCCCCCTCGTCTGGAATTTCTAGCAGGAAGTCGGCCAACGCTTGTCCGTTAATACTTGTTCTCGGGTGGTAACTTATGTCATGTTCCCCTAATTCGATTGCCCATTTCGCTAGCCGGCCCGACGTCTCTGGTTTAAGCAGTATTTGTTTGATGGGGCAGTTTGTTAGTACTTCGATCTGATGTGCTTGAAAATACCGCCTCAGTCGCCGTGCCGCGTAGATGAGTGCCAGGACTAACTTTTCCAGGGTGGGGTAGTTGAGTTCTGGCCCTTGTAGTGCCCTGCTTACAAAATACACCGGCCTCTGTTCTCCTTCCCTTTCTACAGTTAATACTGAGGATATTGCTTCGTTTGAGGTCGAAAGATACATTTGCAACGTCTCCCCCGGGACGGGACTGGCCAGCATGGTCAACTTGTGTAATGCCTCCTTGATTTTCTGGAGCGCTACTTCTGCCTCGTTCGTCCACTGGAAGTTTCTCTTCTCGATGCAACTTTTTAACGTGTGGAACAACGGCATGGCCTTGTCAGCGGATTTTGAGATGAACCTACTCAGGGCTATAAGCTTCCCGTTCAGGCCCTGCGCGTCCTGAGGGTGCCTGGGGTTGGCGTTTCAATGAGCTCGTCCACTTGGTCGGGCTGGGCTGGATGCCCTGCCTGGTGACATAGTACCCCAAGAACTGCTCCTCTTCCACCCCAAACGTGCACTTAGCCGGGTTTAGCTTCATTTTTACCTTCTCTAGGGTTTGGAAAGTCTCCTCGATGTCTTGCAACATCTTGTCTTCGTGCGGGCTCTTGATCACCATATCGTCCACATATACTTCAATGTTTCTCCCAATTTGTTTGGCAAAGATCGAGTCAACTAGGCGCTGGTATGTAGCCCCGACATTCTTTAGACCGAAAGGCATCTTAGTGTAACAGAAGGTGCCATGGTCCGTGTAAAAAGCCGTTTTTTCCTCGTCCTCTTTGCTCATCAAGATCTGGTGATACCCTTTATATGCATCTAAAAAACACTTCAGCTTGAATCCTTGCAATGACTCTACCTTCTGGTCAATTTCTGGGAGGGGGTAGCAGTCTTAGGGCATGCTTTGTTTAAGTCGGAAAAGTCTATGCACATTCGCCATGACCCATCTTGCTTGCGGACCATGACTGGGTTGGCGATCCACGTCGGGAATATTGCTTCCCTTACTATTCCAGCTTCTGCTAGTTTGGCCACTTCGGCGTTGATTGCCCTATTACGGTCCCCACCCTGGACCCTCTTCTTTTGCTTAACCTCCTTTGCTCCTGGTTTAATTACAAGTTTGTGCTCAATGACTTTCCTTTGTACCCCCACCATGTCCGTGGGGGTCCATGCAAACACGTGTTTATACCGCTTGAGCAAGTCGACCAACGCTCCTCTTACGCGACTCGGGAGATCACATCCAATACTGACCGGCTGGTCAGGGTGTTCCGCGTTGATCACCTCTTTTCCTTTTGCGGGGTCATGTCTCATCTTCTTGGCCTCTTTAGTTATCTCTGCTGGTTTCATAATTGTAAAGCATTGCAATTCTTTCGGTGGAGTGGCCAGTACCGTGGCTGCGCCCGTTGGAGTATCGAACTTCATAACTCCATGCATGGTTGATGGAACCGCTTCTAGCTTTAAGAGAGCTGTTCTCTCCAAAATAATATTGTGCTCCGCCGCATGTCGGATGACCACAAAGTCAATCAGGGCGGTTTTCTTTTGCTGCTTATCGTGGCTGGTTATGGTCAAGGGAAGGTGAATTGTGCCTAGCGGCCATAGGCTATGGCCGGTGAACCCGACCAGCCTCCCCGTCGTGGGCCGTAGGTTGTCTTTCCAGCGATCTGGGAGAAGCCGGAAACAGTGCTCATAAATGATGTCCGCCGAACTTCCTGTGTCAACGTAGACCCTGTGTATGATTACATCCCTGATGGAGGCTTGGATTACCAGTGGGTCGTCGCCCCTCCATCCCTCCGGGCGAGGGTCTTGAACAGAGAATGTGAGCGTGCGCATCGGGGTTCTGGTGGTCCCTTGTTCCGTTTGTTGCTCCCCCTGCTTCTCTTACTCCGTATCATGAATATCTCCTTAGGCTGGACTCCTTCGCGAGGTATGTTTTTAGCGTTTTCAGCGTCAAACTTGGCACGCAAGCTTCGTGCTATTTCCACCAGGTCCCCTTTAAGCTGCTTCTCTTCCATTTCTTTTTTTAATACCGAACAGTTAGCTGTGTCATGCGTCTTACTTTTGTGGTAATCGCAGTACCGGTTCTTTGGCGATTTGGCTGGCTGCTGCTTCTCTGACACCGTGTACACCTCTGGGCGACGGCCACGCCTTTCATCCTTGGCAAACGGTCGGAATCGTGCCTGTGGTCTCCTCATTTTGGCCGTAGTGCCTACTTCCCAACTCGGAAATCCGTGTGACCCGGGTTGTGGTGTCTGGTGGTCATTGCATTCAAGTAGGCCTGTTTTGCTGCTTCGCCATCCTCCTGTCTCAAATATCGCTCCACCCTTTCCTTCAATTCGGCCCGTGTTATAGGCTTCTTTCCCATGAGTTTTTGCGATAAAGGGCCTGACAAAAGCCCCCATGTGAAGGCACCGGCTATGAGCCCCTCATCATGCCCCGGTACGTCTAACGTGGCGTTTATGAACCTTGTGAAGTATTCCCGTACAGTTTCACCCTCTTTTTGCTTACAGCCTATGATTGAATGAGAGTCTCCCTTGTACTTGCGTAATTACATAAAGTTGGTAAGAAAAAG